ATAATACACCCTAAACCCCAAAGTTCAGAATGCGATTTTCCTTTTGCAGCAGCAGGGCACAAACCACGAACCCTCAGATTCACAGTTGGACACTAAAACTACTAAGCTATGCCAAGCCAATCGATAGTCATGAAATTGACGTGTGTTTATCCAAAAGTACACCATAAAAGTTATAGCACAATGAATGGGATGGCTTGAAAGTAGTTTATTCAGTATCATGTATAACAGTCTAGCACTGATATTTAAAACACCAGTCATAATTTTTATGTTCATCTTAAGAACTTAAAATAAAAAAACGTTTGAATTTCATTAATTTTTAGTGAATTTTTAAAACAGGTCTAAACTAGATGTGTCGACCATAAGAAATAAACCACAAGTAACATTATCTTAAAAAGGGGGTGGGGTGTAGAAGAGAATGGGTGAATTCCTAGTAAAACTAACTTTATAAAGAAAAGTACAAAAATTTACTATTTACATATGTCATTTATCTATTAAAACGACAAACACTATATGTATGTATATATTTACACAAACACATTTTTAGGGTTACCTAAACATGCATCTCCACAAAAAGATTTGTTGAATTTCGGGTAAAACTACTCAAGGACTGTCCACACTAGTCATCACTTATTTTGAAGTGATAGACAAGAAGAGAAGACAGCTAGTCATCAACAACCACCACCAATTATTTACCAAGGATTAGTGGGATCGATAGGGTTAAGCATGTTCGGTGATGTGATTGAAACCTACAATCTACAGTGTGTGAATCAAGCACCCTAAACACCAAAACAAAGTGAAGTAACAGTTTTTTTTTAATTTTTTCTCACATTTGTGGAAGAAGCTAAGCTGTCAAGAGAAATATTTGGCAAATACAATACTTTTCATCAATACAAAAAACCATAATACTCAAAAGCTTAGTGAATAATTAGAGAATATTTCCATTACTACAAAGCTAATTATATCAGAAATGAGTGAACATGGTTAAAGGAAACACATTACTTCAGATGAGAATTTCACAGCATTTGAGATCTTATGTAATAATTTCTCAAAAGTTACTTTCCTATTAAGTACCAACGGCTTACCAGAAGGGCAACAGTAAACTCAGAAGAACACATAAATAAAAAACAAATATACATACATATGTTCTATGTTTCAACAATTTTTGAGCATTTGAAGTCACATTTGCAAAATGTATCTAGTAACTGAATATTAATTTATATATTTATATATATATTACTAGAATAAAATAATTATAATTTTCAGAGCCCTGAAGTCTTTAGGTTTTATATATACAAGTAAATTCACATTTCCCAAATGTAAAGTTTTGACAGTAAGATTTTTCTTTTTGAAAACATTATATCAAGTTACAAGAAAACCATTCTTTCATAATGTAATCTTTAAACATTATTACATTCTGACTAGTTACAGCATATACCTAGGATATCAGATAAAAATCTTTGGTTGGCTTCAATTTACTCGTATCTTATTGAAATATGTCAATCAATTAAAACACTTAGGATGTATAACCAAATAACTGTACAAACAAGTTCATCAGAGGACAATATATATATATATGACATAACACTGTAATTAACTTTTGAAGAAATCAATAAATCAGCACTATCAATACATGTAGAGAAACATGTATGATATTTTAAAGAGAGAGTTAATAAAAGATGCTAACAAGATATTGAAAATATCCAGCAAAACATACAGGTCGTTTTTTTCTACAATAAATATAAACAGTCTCATCCGTACTTGAATAAAATACTAACTTTAAATCAAACACTAGTACAAAAATTAGTCCATTTTCCATATAATAAACTGATCCTATCTTTTAAATCCGACAAACAGCTTTCTGTTCTTAATGTAAAACGGTTCAGCAGGAAATAAGACATTTTCCTTCCCGAAGTAGCTGTCCGGAACAACATACCAGGAAAATAATTGTTACAATGAAAAAAATAACAACACACATTTCTCTTTCAGATACAAGTAAAATAAAGCTTGTCATGCAGGTCTGTAAGAAAGTTACCAAAACTGAGGATAATGCCTGAAATGGTTCTGAGATGGCTATATCATCCATTATTAATTTCTCTATAGTTGCCTATGAAAGACTTAGCTGTACATCTTTATGAATCAAAACCTCGTTAGTGTGGTAAATAATCAATACAGTTTATTACGTAGATTTTATAACAGTACTACCTAAGGAACTTGTTAAAAAAACAAACTCATTTTATGACACAATTATGAAATGAGTTTCAGTGGATCCAGACTTTTATCGGCAACTACTCCTGCATCCAGACTTTTATTGGCAAGTACTCCTGAATTCAGACTTTTATTGGCAACTACTTCTGCATCCAGACTTTTATCGGCAAGTACCCCTGGATTCAGACTTTTATTGGCAACTACTTCTGCATCCAGACTTTTATCGGCAAGTACTCCTGGATTCAGACTTTTATTGGCAACTACTTCTGCATCCAGACTTTTATCGGCAAGTACTCCTGGATTCAGACTTTTATTGGCAAGTACTCCTCCACATACAATAAACTCGTAAGAAAGTAAGTCCAAAATAATGTGAGAATATAAAAAAAAAATGTATTTCATAAAGGTCAGAATTAGTATTAGTAACAAAAGTCTAGGATCCAAAGAAGTCAGAACTGGTGTTTGTCACTAGGATGTCCTCAGGATTCAGAAGTAAAATTAGTGGCAGTAACAAAATCTGAGATCCAAAGAAGTCAGAACTGGTGTTTGTCGCTAGGATGTCCTCAGGATTCAGAAGTAAAATTAGTGGCAGTAACAAAATCTGAGATCCAAAGAAGTCAGAACTGGTGTTTGTCACTAGGATGTCCTCAGGATTCAGAAGTAAAATTAGTGGCAGTAACAAAAAAGAACTAAGAATGAAAGCAGTTAGGACTAATGTTTATCACAAGGATGTTGTCAGGAACCAGAAGTCACATTAATGCTTGTAGCAAATCTTTAGGATATACACTTTTATGTGAAAAAGCTAGTAAGTGAAAAAGAGTCTCTGGGACTGAGTGTTGAATCCTGGGGTCTCTGATATATTGAACAGTACAAGCCATTCCAGTTAAAAAAAATTGTTTTTAACATAAGTATGATAACCATACTATATTGTGGTTGGGCAATTAGTGGGTTAGCTAGCCGTCAGCCAAACTTGTATATATATTTCAGACTTCCATTCCCATTAGTCTGTTACAAACATCCAATTACATAAAAACAGAATTTCAGATCAACTTCTTATCAACCAAAAGTCACAGTAATTCAATCCCATAACTGGAAAGTTTGGCTAAGCATTATGGTAAACAATCATATCCAAAATGTTATTTTTAAACATGATGATTTGAAATCCATAAAGAACTTATTACAAGATGTAAAAAATTAAAAAATGCAGTCTAGTACAATTTTTATCATAACTGTTAAACCTAATGATTTCACAGTTTCATCAGATTTCTGAATTTAACACTAAAATTAAATTTGACATCACAAGATAGGATTGGGAGAGCTTCTACTTTTCTTGTTCTCGGTCACGATTTCACGTAAAGAAAAGCCAAAGAAGGTGTTAGTTGAAATCATAAATAATATTCAACGTTAAATTGGTACACAATTAAAAAC